CAACATCCTAGATTATTTTTGTGTGGCCAAGGTGCATTGACTGTAATCCTGTTCCAGGACCCAATCTAAAGGTATCAAGATTTTATTTTAAAAAAATATAAGCAGGAAAAATATCACACATTGGTTTGGGAGCATATCTACACAGATGCAGTCTGAAAAAATAATCTAAATTAGCTAATGTGAATTAGTAAACAGCACTAAATTTTTGTCTGGACACTCTGTCCACAGTAAACTGGCCTTCAATTAATCCCAAACTGAGTATTCAAGCTAAAATAAATCAAGCCAATCTTAATGCTAAGTAAAAGCATCCACACAAAAGCTTAATATGATTTTCATTTAATAAATGAATTAAAGTAACTGTTCTTAGAGTTTCTTTGTAAGTATAAGCCTCTTGTTTCCACTACATCAATATACATTCCAGAGGTACATTAATAAACTCCCCAGTCTATTAATATCACTACTTCACTTCCTTGTATTATTTATTCTCATCCTGAAAAGTTTTAATAAAAGGCTTAAAGTCTTCCTAAAAATTAGAAGCTGCTTCCTTTGTTCAGCAAGGAAAGAGTGGACACGGTGCTCTTAACTCTGCAGCAGCTGCTTTGCACAGACGATCAGATGGGTATTCAAATATGAACCAAATATTCTGAGAAGGCAGCTCATTTCCCTCACAATAGTTTCTGCATGTCTAAAGAGATGGGACTTTCTTCTTAGACATGGATCCTTCTCAATTAGGTTGAAGAAATATTATTATTCTCCCAAACAACTACAAACCAGTGCTATAATGAGAAGACTTTCAGCGACTGCCGTTCAGAAGACCCTGCGCATCGGCAGAGCTCAGCCTACGGTCTATCAGCCACAGCTCCCCGCAAAATTCAGCCGCTTTGTTGGCTATTTCCAAGTTGCATGAATTATTCTGCTGGCAGGAGCCCATTTCTGCTCATCACCTGCAGCGGGGCCCCACAGCTCCTTCCTCTGACATGCCAGTACCCTTGCCACATACTGTGGTGCAAGCGTCACTTCATGGGAAGGGGTTGTGGTAAAAAATAAATAAATACCATGTGTATGCATTACTTATTAAACGAATACACTGCAAAATCAGATCCCTTTTTCCTCTTAATATACAGCATCTCTTCCACAGCACTTGGCAATGCTAAATTATTACTAAATAACATTCATTTAATTTATTCAATATTGGATGGATGTCTAAAAATCAAAACACAAGTGCTTCAGAAGAGGGACCTTTTCTTCATGTAAGTCACAAAAGTCACTGGCACATATAGCATTATCTGAATAAATCATTATTTTGACAAATAATGAAGTTTATAGAAAAACTGTGTCGACTTCCTATGGAAGAAAAGGATATATGAAATACCAATATTCTAGTAATTAAAAAAGAAAAAAGAAAACCACAGTGCCAAGTCACCTGAACTTGAAACTTGGAATGAGATTTATTAAGCACACTTCCAAAAACAGAAGAAGAACATGACATAGGAAGTGTGCCCACCAGCCAGAAGAAACACTGTCACCAAAGCTGACAACACAACTGGCAAAGAGAATGGATTAAGGAGGCTCACATCATAATTTTTATTTTTTTCACTAGAATAAGGACCCAGTTAGTATTTCATGTCTGTTTCCCAAAGATTCAATCAGCAACAAATGGCAAAGGAGCACCAGTTCTTTTTCACTTTTATGGAACTACTACATATCTTGCCTATTAAAATGAAAAACGTTAAGCAGGGAGGCAATAACAATATACGCAGGGACCCGGCTTTTAGAAATTCCACAGGACTAAGGGATTTTGTGGATGAGATGCCTGGCCACAAATTTTCAGCTGTAGTACAAACGCTTCCCCCACCCCTTCTCTCCACCCCCTTAAAAAGTCCAGCAACCCACTCCCCATAGTAACCATCACAACTTTTTTTGAAAACTGAAATTTGATGTACATAGAAAAAAACACAGAGAAAACCTAAACTTCCAGGAACTGCAGTTTTACTCCTTTATGGTTTTATTTTTCTTCTTCCTAATGTTCAACATGATTTGCCATATATCTTAGACTGAGATTTTTACAGTCTCCTTAAAATCAACTGACTGAGAAGCAAGCTGTTATTAACATAAGGGTCTGGAAGAGGTATACAGGGACATGCTAGGCAGCATTAAAAAAAACCTACAGTGCCCCCTAAGTACACTCAGAAATGGTATTTCAAGTTTGTTAGTTTATTATTCAACCAGATTTGCAGAGTAGTCATAGATCTAACAAAAAAACAAAAGCTAACTGTATGCCAAGTTCCTTCTTTCTTCAAATACCTCAAAAATGGAAAAGAAAAAAATTCAATAGATTTGCCTTAAATTGAAACAAAAGGCAGAGCTAATGCCAGCAAAAGTCACTCTAGAAACGTCTCCACAGGACAATGAAGCGCGATGCAGAGACACCTCTGCTTGTTCTCTCATGATTTTGCCTTGTAACACAGCTCATGAAAAAGGCTGCATGTACAGTAAGCTCTCCTTGCCAACTGGGAGCTCCACATAGATTATTTACCTTGCTGGGAATTAAAAACAACCCTCAAAGTCTCAAAAACAAAGCAAAACAAAACAAAAAAAAACAAAAAAGACACCCCTTCCTCGCCCCCATCAGCAAGAGTCCTGCCATTGTTTGCAACAGACTTGCAATCAGGCCCATCATAACGTTCCCTTGGACGCTCTAAGTGCAGTCAAGGATTTCTTTTTGGTTTCCAAAAGAAAGATTAGGGTAAAAATAACTGATATTTACTGACATTAGCAAGTCTCTTCCCTTCTCATGGGATTGTTTTCTGATCACCCTACAGGAGCTATTCTCACAAGGATACCCCTACATTCTGTACTGCTGTTTTATCACTAGTAACTTATCCCTGTAAGCTCCTTGTTCAATATGAAAACAAACAGCAGGAACCCAAAAAAAAAAAAAAAAAAAAAAAAAGTATCTTATTGGCAAGAGATACCTTTAAAATACAGTTTTAAAAGGCTGTGGCACTGTTCTACTGGTTTACTACACAAAAAAAAATCATATTTAAGCACTTTCCATAGCCACTGACCTCCAGTGGTTTCCAGTGTTAGTGGTGGCTTTGGTTTAGATTTTTTTCAAAAGTTTTTACAGACCTGAATACCTGTGGAGCTCATGGGCCCATGCAATGAGACATGATGAAATTAAGCTATTTGATCAGCCACAGAGAATAAAACAGTTCACTGCAACAGCCCAGTGTTCCCTGCTTACCTTTATAGCAAAGGTTTGCAGTTGCCCTGTTCTGCAAACATCACAGCATGTACTTGAAATTATGAGTAAAAGTGGTTTTTCACCACAATCAGCCAACAAAGACAGTATCAAAAGCTACCTCCATGTTTTGTTCTGTTTTGTAATGAGATCAGCTTGATTGGCAACATATCACAATATAATGGATTAAGATGATGTTACTTGTAACACTGGCTTCAAACAAAATTCTGCCTTGATGTTAAATAAAGAATCCAGAACCCTGTGTTAAGTGCTGCTCTCATACTGTAGGTAGCCAAGGTCACAGTCTTCAACTGTTTTGCTGTTGCTGTACCCAGAACACGCACTATGAGCCACTACCTTGCTGTGAATCATCCCTCCCACAAATATCTCATAACATACATAGTTTGCAATCAGTGAAAAATAACATTAATTGGAATAAGCATTTTGCCATTAAGTCTCTTATTGCACCATTAGATCTAAGGTAACACTGTGCTATATCATATACAAAGGATTGTAATTTTAGTACCTGAGCAAACCAAGAAACTTGATTATAATACACGTAATCCAATAACATGGACATATATCCTTCAATCTAAAGAGTAAGAAGTTAATTTGCTTTTGCATAAACATTCTGTTTCGCTTAAATTTATACAACCATAAAAATTGTCTTAAAGAGGCATTTAATTAATTTCTATAAAGCTTTCTAATTTAAGTAGCTGTATTTATTTCAATTAATTAGCACTGCTCAACTCTAGGTATTATCTTTCTACCAGTTTACAAAGCAAAAATATTACTGTTCTGGAACTGGCACAGTTGATTCTCAGTTGAATGCACAGAGAACCACAAAAAATTCTCTTAAGTAACAGAAGAAAATTCAGTCAGAGGAGAATACATTTTTAATGTCAAATACTCACATTGAAAATGCTGTGAACTGCACACAACTATTAAAGAGTTCTGACATAACAGATGGGATCTCAGAGTAAGACCAACTGGCCAGTAAAAGTGAAAACATAAATGACAGACATTTTAGTTTTATTCTTTGAAATGTGACTTCATCCTCAAGATCTTCACAGCATTTGAGAGTTGTTGGCCATTTCACTGACTACTACTGCAACCAACCAATCCACCCCCTTTTTTTTGCTGTCTATAGATATAGTAGTAAATGTGTTAATTGTCAAATTAATAAGATTTATTAACAGATAAGATTTGTAGTTATCTCTGCTGCCCACGGTCATCCACCATTTATAAGGAGGAAGGCAAGGAGTGGGTACTTTTGAGGAGTTTATTAAAAGTATTTTCAGATTATAGCTGATTTCACAAACTCTTAATCAACAAAACACATAATGGCAGTGTAAGTTACTTTAAAAATGGTGTGAGTGAAACAACTCATTTTATTTCCATATTTATGAAGGAGTATAATTTAATAGATGTGCTGATACCTGCATTATCAGAACATCTGGATACCTGGCTGGCAGGATACCCAACAGAAAAGGATTCCTTAGTACTTGTGCTATATCTGAAGTGGTAGCCTGAATCTTCTCACCTACACCATAGTATAACAGTTGCTTAAACTGGAAATTTCAAGAAAAGACAAATTAACCTGTGTATGACACATTCAACAGAGCAGGTCAAAAGTCCCAGTAGCAGTGAGTAGGTATTTGCAATTCTCCTCCAAAGCAATTGAACACATACCTATGATATTTTACTGTCTTCATCTTGTTAACAATTACCACATTAAAACAGCAAAACAACTTACCACTAGGATTAAAAGCCATGCAGCAAATAGGCTTCTCATGTGCGGGGAAGTGGGCCACAATGCCATCACTGTCAGAGTCCTCGCTGACAAGCACCTGCATTACATGAATAGAGACAAAGGGAGGTTATAAAAAAACCCCATACATCTAAGAAAATATCAGCTTTCTGATACGGGAATTGTTTTATAAGATATACACAGTGGTATGAATTAGAAATATAACTGCATGTGAACTAAACACAAACAATCTTCTATAATCTTTCCAGATACAGACACATGAGACATGTTTCAAATAACTAGAAAGGATTATGCACCTTATACCTGGATTCTCTATTTATTTATCCTAGTCAAATAAGGCAAAATGGAAAAATATTACTGTTTTGCTACATAAAGCAGTAATGGCTGCATAGAAGCTGACTACACAACAAGTCTGTATGCAAGCACTCGGAAGCAACATTTAAGGTTTCCAGGGCTGTTGAAGGAAGAGGCCGTTGTGACCTCTATATGTCTACACCAGAGAGGGTCTGCAACTCCTAAACTTGTGACAGGAGTTCTCCTGCTCCTCCAGCTCTCCTGGGGACAGGAGCTCTAGCATGGACGTTTTTTTCCAAAGAAAAGAGAATATTTAACCATTCCATAAATCAGTATTTTCTTTGGGAGGATTCAAAGTATACATGGCAAACAAGTGAAAAACAGACCAAAAACCCCATCAAAGACAATGGGTTTGCTTTCCACCGGTTGCATAGGTAGGAACACTACAGCTTGCATTCTGCTAATGAGTGGTGATGGACTGGAGGTACTGGGATTTCCAAAGGATGCAAGAAGTGCTAAGGACTGGGAGTGTGTATGAAAGCAGCTGCAATGTGAAATATGCAGCTAACAAGAATTTTCTCCATCTTGAAATTGCCTCAATGGACATTCAATTACAAAGGTTGTCAATCAAAACCCCTTAAAGAAATTACACTGTCATAAAATACCTTCTTGTGAACAAAAAAGCAATTCAAAGGTAAGAGCAAGTTTTTACAACAGAGGGAAATTAAGAGGAAAGGGAAATATCTGGACTGAGATCTGTGTCGTGCAACATCTTCTGGAGAAAGGCAGAAAGGATGAGCTTTTGGTTTGTCAAACAAAAGGCTGTTTGAAGTTGATAAAACTACTTGGGCCAGTCAAAACTAAAGCTGACTGAAGACATACAAAAGGACCTCCAAAAGGACACCTCATTATCAATATCTAACTGCATGAAAAGGAAAAGATACTCTTAGATTTATAGAGGAGAACCAAAAGATGTGCAGACAAAATACAGGCAAGAGCTGCAGAAGTATTTCATTCCTTGGTTACATCACGTTAAAGACTAAATTAAGTAAAACAATGAGAAAGATCTGTCAGAAAAGGACTTAATAAAAGGGTTTCTGTGGTAAGCAAAAACCACCTTCCTAACAAGATAGTGCAAAATTTCCCATTTCAAGTTTAGAATAATTTGTCTGCTGCTTTCAAAATAATCTGAAAGGTTTTTAATACTTCCTATTCCTAACAGATATCAGAATAATTTGAAGATATTTTTATGCTTCAAAAAGAGAAATCATCTTTAAATGTTTAAATAAGTCACGTAATATGGATGAAGAGGCCTGTGCCTGCCTGACTTTAAATGTTCAAATTACTTGGCAGTGTCACATAAGCACAATTATGGTTTTGCTTTCTGTTGTCAGCATTTCGTGCTTATTCCAGAACCACTAACCAAAGGGTCTGGAGATCTTCCTAAGAGCTTTTCAAAGAAACAGTGTTCTTTTCTCAGCCTATATAAACTGCACTGAATAACTCCTATACATCATCTTTTCATGGCTTCCACTTTTAGGTAACTTGGTCTTATCCCCAACATTTTGCTCTAATTAAAGATACATGATAATGATAAAGTAACATCATAAACCACCTTTACAAAAGAAATAGAAGGTTTTTTTAAAATCTAGTCTGTAAAACAAAAATTTTAATCTAGAAATGTGTAGTTAACAACAGTAAATCATTGCTAAAACCAGTTATGTACACATGCCTCAGACTGTAAACTGCATTAACTCAGCATGGCTTTTTAAAAACAAAACAAAACAAAAAACCTAATGATAAATGAACTACTTAGCATCCCTGCAACATATAACCCCTATTCAACAGCCAAGGAACACTCTGGATGGTAAGACAACCTTTAAATATTTTTCCTCTGGAAATACAATACAAAGTAAAAATTTTACAACACTAAAAATTGTGAAACACCTCAGACATACCAATTTGAAAAAACAATAAAGCCCAAATCTATTTGTCTGCTATGCTGACTGATTCCATGCTTTACAATGTTTTATTTAATCACTGCTTAAAATTATCTTCCTGGGAAAACACCCTTTGTGTTTAATCTAAAAGGAACTGCATTAGTTCAGTTAAAGAAAAAAAAAGAAGTTAAAAAAAACCCCAAAACACCTTCATTACTCAAAAATCTGGAAATCCTTACATAGTGGAGAATCTGAAACTGAGGTTGTGATGGTGCCACACCACCTCCTTTCCTGACATCTGATATCTGTCACTCCCTACCCACTGTGGCCACAGAATGGAAATGCTTCTGAAGCACACACATGGAAACAACACTTGCTTGTGCAAGGTAAGATGAAGTGGGGAAAAAAATTTTAAAAAAGTTCTTAAGCTCTTCATCTTTTTAAAATCATCATGAAAAAAAAAAATCCTTGTGCAACAGAGAAGAAAAGTACTTTTGTAAAAAAATCACCAACTTGTATTTAAATCTTCCGGCTGCACTGCAAGATCTGTCATGTCCTTTCCCTGCACTTTTGCAGTGCACAGTTGGGGAAAACATACATCACTTTTTACAATTTCAACACTAAAAAGCAAAAAAAAAACCCCAAAAAACCAAAGGAATTAAAAGGAATTACAGCAGTTGACTTAACTACATCATCAACCAAAGAGCAGCCTCTTTGGAAATGTCCCTTCCAAACCTGTGACAAAAACAAAAGCCTGAATCATGTGGTAATTTAGAGCTTGTACAGCCTTAAAATCATAGTATGATTTTCACCATTGTATACAACTTAATGGAGACAAAGTTACACTGATACAACACAAGGTGTTCTATACTGGAATACCTTATTTTCTGTATTAGAGATCTTGAAATGGATATAACTGCCTCAGTACAAGAGAGTTTATGTAAATTTGGATAGATCAAATAGCACAGATTTCACATCACACAGCCTTCACAGATTTCAGAAACCACTTTTTGCAAAGGCTGAAGGGGAAGACGCTATCTGCAAAAGGTGGTGGAAAGAATGATGTCTGTAGGTGAAGAAATGGCACATTAAATCAATATTGACATTGTACAACTGGTTCCTTTCGGCCAGTTTATGGTTTCTAACCACTGAAAGGAGTGGAGTTGGAAATTTTTCTTGGAAGTCACAAGAGTGGTACAAATTGCCTAATAACACATGCAAGTGCTGTCAAAAAGCTCGAAGGAAGCAGCTCATTCAGCTTCCCGACACACAGGGCAGACAAAGGCCACAGGAATCCCAAGCCTGCAATTTTTTTCATCCCAAATAAGCTTCGTTCTCCAAGGTAGTGGCCTCTAACCACTCTACTATTAAGAGTAAAAGACCTTACGAAGTCTCTCATTGAAGAAGGTTCATAAATCTCAGCATTACTCTTATAATTGCATAGTCACCGAGGTTCATAAGGATGCTCAAGTATCTTCCTTGCAGAGTTCCCCACAAATAGAAAAACCATTTTAAGGAAAACAACGGGACAAGAGAGAAACACTGAGGCTGTTCTGCCAAGATGGCCCTGTACAGCAGCACTCAGCCTATTTCTGATGCCCAAACAGTTTTTATCACGATACTGCAACACAATTTTAAAACAAAAGCGCCCAGCCAAGTAAGTCCGTAGCTGGAGATGCTGAGCCAACGCTGTAGCTCTCTCAAGCCAGCCCCATTTAAGTCCAACGGAACACTGTACTTGATCAAAGATGAACCAAGTTCTCTTTATCATCCTCTAAAAGAGAAGCAGACAAAACACTGAGGGGATCATTACATTTACTATCAGAAAATGGTGTTTGCTTTGAGGGCAAGAGATAGTTGAAGCCAAAGCTTTTTTTCTCCTATGCCATATTTTTCATTGTATTTTCCATACTACTGAACAGAAGCCACGAGTAATTATGACTTCAATTATTTTAATCTTTAAAGGCAAATTACACCACTTATCCCAGTGGAGACATGTTTTTAAATAAAACATGAAAGTAAGACAAATAAAAATGGACACAAATCTAATCAAGCAGGTCCGACTCTTAACCAAATTAAGAAAGAATAATCCCAGCATCATAAAAACAAATAGATTTGGCAATATTATAAATTATAAGTATTATATAAGAGAGAGATCTTTGCATGTGTACTTATTAAGGTCTCCACTGACTTAAAGAGCTGAAGTTAGGGCAGTGTTCACTTCAGTTGTAAGATGTATGCGCAGAAACCAACCCACTCCATACCGACCCCCCCAATTAGCTTCCCCCAACTTATAGCCAAGGTCAAACATCAGTGGAAAAGGGCTAAAAGTGATAAATCTGTGGCATTAACTACCGCGCTCCTTTTAATAGAATCCAGCATAAACTCAAAACAGCCTTGTGCTCAGCCTGAACCATTTATCTGAGACAAAAATGTCTTCTTGACAAAAAACAGATCTCCTTTAATAAAAGTACGGCAGACAGCATTATGCTCTGAGGGAATCCTGTTGCTCTTTTTATATTTATATATAAAAAGAATTCTTCTGTAATACACGTAGATATAAAAAGTGAAGAAAATTGATGCCAAATATATGAGCATTAGAACAGCAAATCAGCCTCTGGGAAAGCTGTTTTTATAAATAAAAGCACTGGTGTTAATGACCAGTGGAATTACGTATGTAGTTAAAGTTTTATTATCAAATACGCTGTATTCTTGTAGCTTCTTTTTGCTTTAGACCAAAGTTTCACAACGCTTCTTGGTCCTGATAAGCATCTTTATCTGGTTCAATTGTTATCAACCCCTTACCGAATGAAAATGAACTTTTGAAACTGCAGCAGTCCGCAGATTTTTTCTGCAAATTCCTCTTTAATGCAATAAAAAGTTAATAGGGAACAGAAAAAAAGCACCAATCACATTTTAAAACATAAGAAGATCAACATGTTATCTTATTTTTATAAGTTATTTTTAAAATATTTCCTCAAATATTTTCATGTGTTTTGGATGATCTGCGAAAGCAACACAATGATATCTCATCAATCACATCGCTCTATCAAAAGCATTAAGAATCAAGGTTTTTATTTTTAAATGACCACATATTTCTCTGTCAACTAAATGTTAGATGTTTAACAGATTTACATTCAGTCGCAAAACTGGCGACTTTTGAGCAAGGTCATTATTGCAGACTACACGTGGGTGGCCTGGTTGATGAATTAATTAAGAATACAGAAACAAAGGTTGAAAGAAAATAATTTTTCTTTAAAACTCGAGCCACTAAAGTCTTACACATTTAATTCCAATTACTGAAAAAGAGGACATCTGCAGAGCTTTAGTTTTATCCATTTCAACTAATTAACAGATTCAAATAAATAGTTATTACATCTAACTGAAAAGTTTGCTAATGCTTCATTAGGAGGAAGTTTAAAGAAGCACACAACCTTGTTAATATATTTCGGTTTACCACAAAGTTACTTGTGCATCTTGATAATTATTTTTACTCCCTTTACAAACATATCATGACAGCCAACTTCAATAATTCTATGTTCCTTTGCATTTATTTAATTACTTCAGAATTCAATTTTTTCTAAAGTACCACCAATTTTTAAAGTAGGAGCTATCACATAAACAACTTGTGGGTATGAGATTTCACTACAATATCTACATTCATAAGGTTTATTAAAAATATTTTAAATTTAATCCTGAAAGATTACATTAGAAGATTTCTTTGGGCTTTAATTGTATATTTTTCAGTGGTAAGCTAGCATTTCAACCCCTGCCACAGTAGCACAGTACATTTCATCAAACACACCGAGTTCCATCTCACATTCTTTATATTTGCTATCTTTGAAATGGCAGATATAGTAAAAAACTAGTGAAAACTTAAAGCTGTAGTTAGTCCTTCTGACTCATGTCCAAAACATGTTCCTTAATCGTCCAACTGGCAAATAAATCTGTATGTTCGTACACATGCAGAGCAGCTCACTCCATCTTTAAAACTTGTGTTGCTACAGCCAAAATAAATGGACAAGCACATGCATCATTACACTGCAAGACTATATATATACATATATATATATATGTATATATAAAAAAATATGCTGCCCCACTGAAAAAAGTGCTTATTTCTCCTTCAAAAGGACATGCTTGCTTGCCTTAGATTTACTGCCACCCTCTTCCATTTTCTTTCTCTTTTTAAAACAGATTTCTTCTTTTTTTTTTAACTGTATGTTATCTCAAAGATATATTTTATTACTTGGAAATTGTTTTATTTCATTACAACACCCAAACTCTTAGCTAGGCTGGCAGGTAGATAGAAATCTTTATTGACCTGAAGGAGGTGAGCTATTCCTTTTACATTAGGAGTCCGTTGATAAGAAAATAACTCCTTTCTGCTTCTGAAATTCCCCTCATTTATGACACACAAACAGATTTACATAGCTGCTAGACAAATCTCTGATGAAAGGGATGCAAGGCTTTCAAATTGTTAATTCAGTCCAGAAAACACTCGGTAGGCATCACTAATTCTTGTGGTTTCCCAGGCAGTTTAGGAAGACCAATGCCTGTAAGGGACACAGCCATCCAGCAGCATCCCCACCCAGCAGAGATGAAATATTCCAAACCAGGCATCTTCATCACCGGAGGAAAAAAAAAGGAATGCCACTAAGTGTTTCTTTCTACTCACCCAGACTTCATATTTCCCACCTGGAATCTGAAAGTTGGGATGGTAATCCCATAACTTTAGAAAAATCACTGCCACACAGTGTCAAGAAAACAGAGACTGAACCATGCAAGGCACTCGCTGTTCTGCTGTACAGCAACTGCCTTCTCTCAAGCACAGGTGAGGCTGGACTCTGCGTTACTCAATCGGCTCAATCTCTCTATTTCAACCAAAGTGTCAGTAATAATGTCATTTGGACGACTACTATCAGCCAACCAATTTGCCACAGAAGAGTAAAATAATTTCAGGAATTAATACAATGAGGAAGAACCAACGTAGCTCAAACAGCCATACAGATTTCAAATCAGCACGACGCTTCACCACGAGTTGATGCTGAGGTATATGAGCAATCACATTTAGCTCAGTGAGATTGCTCACATCATTTAAAGGTCAAACTTGCTAAAACACTTTCCTGAACTGAAGCTTCACTCAATTAGGCTGTAAAAACCAGCCAGGACTACCCAGCTAGACAAATACGTGTCATCTAAACTAGGATGTCATTTCTTGCAGGCTTGCCTGCCTCTGCCAGCACACAAGCACGGGCTCCTTGCCAGGCTCCCTGGGACAAGTCAACTCACACAACTGCCAAAACCAGGATCTGCCGCGTTCGAATGAGGCTGCCTGCACAAAACTTACGCTCCCACCTGGCAATGGAAATACAGCTGGAGTGATGGACACTAACTCAGCAGGGATTGCGAGGACACACAACACCCCTCACATTAGACGGTGCTTTACTGGAGCAGTGTTGAACGTTTTTATTTAGACCACAAACAGAATGTATTTATTTTTCATCAACTTCCTTTTTGCTATATGCACATTTTAGTAGGAAAAGATTCTTAAAAAGTCTGCACCGTGAAAATCCAACAGTGCAAAGAAAGACTATTTTATTTTTCCTGGAAAAAAAAATAATGTGAATTCTGAAAGCAAGTCTCAGCACTGAAAAGAAATAATTAATTTAATAGTATTTTTAAATCTCAGATCATAAATATATGAATGCATGACATACAATAAGCATATCTAACTTAGAGTCTCCTTCCCTAGAGATTCAAAACAAAAATTATTTTACTAGAACTGATGGCTTATTTATGTTACAGCAGCAGTATTTGGACAAGGCAAGAGTTATCATTTTTACAACTACTTTTCCATAGTGCCCTTTGGGCTTGATAGCTCCCTACTATTGTTAAGGTCAGAGGACAAGTTCATAAAACCTCTAAATCATACATAACAAGACTTAAAAACCTAAGATATATCATTTTTTTTCCCCTAGGCCTATGCAGAAGAATCAAAGCACAGACAATGACCATCAGAAATAATGACCGCATAAAGCAAGGCCTCATGAGAAATTTATGAAGTTAATTTTTTCTTCTGGTGGTTTTTTGTTGTTTTTTTTTTCTTTTTTCTTTTTTCTTTTTTTCCCTCCTGGCAGTATACAAAGAGCCAAAAGATCTGTTTTTCCAGGAAACAAAAACAAACCCCAACAGTCAACAGATTTATTTTAAGAACTGACTCTAAGATCTTCAGTAAAATACCTTCTTTTTTCTATCGTCTCCTTTTTCTTCCTTTTTCTTTTATTTTAATTTTGCAAGAAAAAGCCTATAATGTTCCATGTACAAACCCCTTTCAATGTAACATTACTTGGCTAAGTATTTCCAAACTAATTCTCAGGAACAATCACAGCTCAAACAGCATACTGGATTTTTTGTTTGTTTTGTTGTTTTCAAGTAAAACATTTCATTTTCCCCTAAGGTAAGAAAAGAAAATAACTTGACTGCTGAACTGTCATTAATAAATTACTAACTTACCTGCAATTAGCATCATAAAGATAGGGGAAAACAAACAAAAGAATTTTTTTTCTTTTTTAAATTCAGTAAATATCAACATTAGGAAAACAATTTTACAAAATAGTTACAGAATAATGAAGTGTGTGGGAGTCTTGCATAAACACTGATTCCAGATGCAGACACTTAAAAATTAAAGGATTGATAGAAACAAACAAAAAAAAACCCATGGATATCTTCTCTGTCCTGAAGACAGTACAAAACAGACTTAAGTTTGTGTGATAATGGTAGGGATTTTTTAACAAGTGATTTTGCCTGACACACTGCAGTGTCTTTTATTAGTAAAACGGTACATATGCCTCACAAAACAGAATCACACTTGATTACATTATAGATTTGAAATGTATGTTAAATTATAACTTTTATACCTAATATTTAACTTCACTCATCATCTATTTTAAACTGGAATTCGACAATTCACCGTATTTCTAGACAATCACATTTTCCAGTCACATTATATATTAATAAATATAATCAGACTACATATACGTTTCAGCTGATCAGCATAAATCAATGTCAATTACGAACAAGTGTTAGAGAGACAAAATGTGACACTTCACACTTGATCTTGTCAAAGTGTCACATAAATATGTTCTAAGGACAATATATATATTGGTTCAATTTCAGTCCCAAATAAGACTTTATCACAGCCGCATGTACCTGTAAAAGTTTTTGACCTAGAAAAAAAAAAAAATCTCATCTATTTTTCATTTTCAAAAGCATAAAATATAATTTCCTGAGATTTTTGTGAAAATAAATGCACATTCTGTTTCTGTGCAAACTGCATTACCTGCCCTTCTGCAACTGTCTCTGTATCAATGATAGTGACGATTCCAGGCACCAGAGGACTTCGACGCATGTTGCTATGAGCTAAAATTTCTTCTTCAGTTGCTCCTGAAGGCAGCGTCCCTGTCAGCTGCGTAACTACTTTGCCAACCATTGTAAGTCCAGTCTTTATCGTCTATAAAAAGAAAGGGAACCAATAAATAATGTTTAGGGATGTTTTGTGGATTTACCTTGAATTTTTTCCCAACATAATTAGTATAACTAGATTGCACACAGCAGAAGCACACAAAACAAATCTTTTTTATAAGTGATATATAAGCTGTAAAAGGCTGTAACAAAAGTGTCTTGAAAAGAATTAGCATCCTATCAATTTGAAGTATTCACCTTTGTTTTGGAATTAAATGCTTCCAAAACATTTTTGAAAATATAAATGTATTTGATGTTGTATCAAAGTTACAGAATTTCCCGTTTTACATTTGTTATCTACTTATTCCAAGAAGTACAGAGCACGGACAGTTAGAAGAATCAGATGCTGAAGCCAAGATGGGTGCGTGTGGAAGGCAGCGTTACACGAAGGAATGCTCAGAGCCCCTAATGGTTAATGCTGAAATAGTTATGTCTTCTGCACAAGTGCAAGAGACAAGGAATTTGGCCTTTGATAGATATGACAGACACATTCATTTGTTTCTCAGCAATTATGCCTTTTGTAGCATTGAAAAGCAAAATTAAAACCGCCATCCTCAAGGTACTAGAAAGGACAACTCTGTAGAAAGTACACACATATCCCATTAAAAATAATGTGACTTGCCATAGTCTGCATGTTTTCCAGATGTGGGTTTGAAAACATATTCATCACACCAGCTTTTATTATCTAAAGATGCTGAAGACTGTTTTTAAGTTATTTTATTTGGAGAAAGTGGAAGAGTACATACAGTAGGAGAGATACAGGTTTAAAAAAAACATACAACTTTAAATACTTTCTCCTTGAATCAAGGACTGTGTCTTATTCGCCTACAAACAATTGAGCAGATTTATTAAGCAATATAAATAAGAAATAGCAAAAGAGATCAGAATGGAATGATACTATAACAAGCCAATTCTTAACTAAAAAGACAAGCTAAGCTGCCTGCTAAATTGAAAAGGAAAAAAACTGTACAGATCACAGACTGAAACCAAGAAGCAGCCACAAATCAATTGCAACTGCTTTGTTTAGTGCTAAAATCTCAAACTGCAGTGATTAGAAAACACATTAGTGTTCATCAATTAGCAGCCAAACGTTTGTTTTAATAATTCATAGGAAATGACTTACACAAAGTCTGTTAGTGTGTTGTCAGGAAAACCTCTGAAGGGCCAACAGAATTAGGCGCCACACTGTATTGATGGCAATATCCAGCCAGGAAGCCTGATTAACCTCTGAGATGCCTCAGCTGATGTACTTACCCCATTAATGCTAATGGAGATACTACCACTTAAAATCGAGCCATGCCTTTATCATAGGAATGTCTTTGGTGTTTAAAGTCTTTAGTAATATCCTGCCATTTGTTTCTTATTATTTCTTTTTATACTCGGATACAGCGAACGAGAATAAAACAAATTTTAACAGTGGCAAATTCAGAAGTCTGAAAAACGTAACGTAAAGCAGATAATGATATCCAAGGAACAGACCTAAAACTGAGCCAACGCCATCACAAGAATGCATTTCAACAGACACTCTCCTCACAAAAACTGACAAGGCAGTTTTCTGGCCAATAGTTTAAATCGTTTAAAGGCACCGGTAGTTTATACAGCAGGAAAGAGAAATTCGTACAGAAGTACTACATGGCAAAATACCTGTGCAAGTTAAAAGATTAAGAATTGTAACTGACCTGTTTTAGAAAATGTCTTTAGTATTATAACTAGAGAGACTGGATGGCAAAAGTGTCAAGTATAAATTCATAGCTCACTAGAAAAAAATTAACATCCTTATCTAGCAAAATGAATTCCCATTACATGGTAGAGTAGACTGTGACTGCAGGACTACTGAGGAGTAATAGGTGTGCAAAGATGTGGCCGAGGCCATTAGCTCAGAAATATCAGTGCAAAACCATTACGGCACTTACGTCTTTGTGCTATGTGTATATTTGCAAAAACTTCTCTGGTAATCTTTAACCTTTCCCATGCCATATCAGCTGTCCCCTCTATCCATTAGAGCTAATGACCTTGCTCTCACATAAGCTGTTAGTACTCATTAAGAAGTTATCAGGTAACAAGAGAAAACAGATGCAGCCTTTGCTAAATCACTTTACCACTACAGGATTAAAAGATATGGAGAAGGAATCAACTAAAGAAGTTATGAGGTGAGAAGAACTTGGTTTATAATTTGATGCTAGACATTCGACAGACCAAATACATTTTAAATGAACTAGGTTAAAGTCCACACTGTCTCAGTTCCTTTGCCATTGATGGGAACTTGCCAGTGCATACTCTGTGAAATTTTTTTTTACAAATAAAATTAAAATACTTGATCCAATTCCTTTTGTAAGCAACGATGCACATTGTGCAAACACACAAATTATTTGTATGCTCACGTGTACCTTATCTACTTCAAAATAAGACTGTTCACATTCAAATATAAAGAAACACATTTAATTAGAATAAATGTATGCACTCATACCTCATTTAATTGAAAAATAAGTACAACTTTAATTTGATGAGAGAATTAAAATGCATCATTCAGTGCCTGTTAGGCTGTTTTGTTCCAACAGAGGTCTTGCATCCTTTTAGTGACAAAACAACATATTGTTCCTGTTTCTCATAATAAATACATTTTACATTATTTATTTGTTTACACATTAAAAATCTATAGAAAGCAGAAAGAGATATCAAAAAGATACGCCTTGGTAATCAACAACATGAAAGCCTCCTGGTTAGTTTGAACAAAATGAGCATACAATCAATTACAGATTCAAGTTCAAACTAAATGTTTGTTGAAACACTCATGTTTCACAAAGATGTTTCCCCTTCCTGCTCTCGCTGCACATACTGTAAAGAGATAGGACAGGGAAGAAATCTATGAGGAAATTGATCTTGAACAGCACGGCACGTTTGACTGCCAGGGATACACTGGCATGGGGTAGGTCTGTATGGCCACCACGTGAATGGAATGAGCTGAAACGTGACTCAGCAGCATGGTGGGACCAAACCTCTCTTCAACAAGACATAGGAAAAAAAGCAAGCACACAGACTTAAGAATGTAATTTCCTATGTCCCCTTCCTTGCTACATCCAAAATGGATAAATGTGGACAATTCTAACAAGCCATTTCACATTTGGACGCTTATCTCCAACCAAGCACCTGAACATTCTCCCATTACTAATACTGTTAAGTAATAAGCTGGTTTATTCTGAAAGATACATCCATTCTACTGTGTTTGTTCAACTGAGTGAAAAGAATCTTTACCTCATAAGGAACATCATCTTCACTTTTTCAAATGCATCCATTTCTATCTTTGCTAAACTTTAACCTAAACTGGAATCTTAAAACATTCTCCATTTCCCAAAATTTTCTGCTTGGTTAAATCAGAAAAATTATCAGAGCTTTTTAGAACATGAACAGACAGAAAGCCACCAAACAAATGAGGGGAAATGAAAATAAGAGATTGAGCTCAGAAAAATGCATGTGTTTTTCCAGCAACAGCAGAAAGCGATGTTCTTGCAAGATGCTTCTAAGGAGAAAAAGTTCAATGCTCAAAATAAAATCCTTCTAGAAATTATACAATCGAATGGGAAGATGAAGTAATGGAATTCTTAATGACATTACCAAAATAACATGAGTTTCGGCACCAGCAAACAACACACTCCAACATGACCACAATTTTGACTTCAGAATTCTCGGTTAACAGGGGAGCTTCTGACTCTTAGGTTATTTGATTAAAGAGGAAATTTCTTTGCTGCATCAAGTACGGTACACAGCAGTACTCCACACTGAGGACAAACCCACCGTTCACTACCAGGTCATTCAAAAACATTTCTCACCAAAGGGAATACTATTAAAGTAAATATTCTGTACTGCTACTGAGACTTTCTACAGAGGAACTGAAAGGTAATTCTCAAAAGTGATCCTGTTGAAATTATTCTTTGCTGTCAGCTTTATCTTTCTCCTTTATATGAACGTTCTTTCACTTCCTTCATTAAGAAACTGGAACCCAAACAGAGAAAAGGCTGTAACCCAAGATAATCTGACAAAACAAGAAGTTTTATGGAAGCATGTTTCAATCAAAAAGTAGC